TATGGGTTTCCTGGGCAGTGTGTTAAATCAGCTTTAAGAAACCCACAAGATAATACAGCCCATTGATCCATGGGATCCATGCAGATCCAGCAGCGTGGTCTGATCCACGGCAGGCCTGTTGAACAGCAAGGCTCTGAATTCACTGCAAACTCGTGTTCAAAAATGTTCCCATGTGATTTAGTCTTTGTCCCAAGAGGTTTAACTAGAGCCCTGGAATATGAATAGCAGCTGTGAGAAGGAAGAACTAGAACATTCCTTATTTAGCTAATTTCCTCATAACCTCCCAGTTCCCTAAAAATAGTGCACGATAAAAAGCTCCCCCATACCACACTGGTGCGGAGATGGGAAATGGGAGTTGCTGGATAATCTAAACCTCACTCTATTGTGTCTCACTCTGACACTAACATCAGGAAAGCATTTCCTATTTTTAGCTTAATTTGTTGAAGTATCTTAAAGTTCCTGGATACATAAATATCCATTATTTTACATAGAAGATGCATATGAATCTCTTAAACAGCAATGAAAATCTCCATGATCTTCTAGGTCAACATTTAATATATAGGTAGGGTAAAAGTAAAAAAAAACAGAACAAACAAACATCAAAAAATATTTACTCAATCTATAACATCAAAAAAGTCCATGTTTAACTTCCTCTACCAAATTATCCAGGTAGCTTATATTATATAGTGAGTGGTTGTTGTAGGCTGAATCTGTTCCAAGATCTCAGTTTACTTTCTCTGATCTTTTCCAGTTCATTCCCCTCCCAGGCTTAAGGCAATTGCTTCCTGATGGAGGATCTTCTTTGTGTAGGGCTCTGCCTCCAGTGCCATACCCCCTCACCACCTTTCAGTGCTATTGTGTTGTTCTTTCTTGACACCACCGGAAGTACTGCACAATCTGGATGTTGTTTGTTCCTGCTCCTAAGCCTCAGGTAGTGAAAACAATGCTGGAGTCAGTCTGCGTCTATCCCAGAAGCAGCATTTGGTGGGCAAACACTGTGCTGGGAGCACCATTCACAAACAGGTTTACTCAGGCTGCAAATTAAGACCTTTGTCCTCTCACTTTTCACATGCACTGGGGGCAATGAGTTAAGAATCTCATGTTCAGTAGCTACCAAGAATAACTGGTAATCAGAAATCTGAAGGAAACAAAAGAATATTTGATCTGTGGGAGGAAAGTTTAAAGACCAAATGCATGAAATGAAATTTGAGCTTTCTGTGGCCACAGCCTTTTTGTGCTGTGTAAGGATAGGCTTGGTGTTGATGAGGTAAAGTCACCTCTACAAACTTGAAAAGAAGGAAGACAAATTAGGGATGAGAAGAAGCTATGTTGGGGTTGAATCAGGTTTTATTACAAGCTTCAGCCTCCTGTAGTGTCAGCTTCGATAAGGGAAAAGCCAAGAAAGTATCTCGATGCCCATGGCAGGGGGGTTGGAACTTTATGATCTTAAGGTCCTTTCCAACCCTAACTATTCTACGATTCTATGCTGCCAGTGTAATGCTTGGTCCTGTAAGAAGTGCTTCTTCATGGAGAAAAGTTTACCTTCCTGGGTAATGCTGTGCAGATTTGGGGGCTGATGTGAGCTGTTAAGAAGGAATGGGAGTAATTAACCTCATGATTCAAGCTTCAGAAATTCATGTAAGCAACCATTTGCTTTATTTTCTCCTGTGCAGACCAGGGGCCCTAGACAGTACCCCAAACAGTCACATAATAAGAGCTGAGGGGTGCAGCAGCTTTCACTTATAGCTGAGAGTGTGTCATCCAGTCCGGCCTGGTCCCTTTGCTTCTGCTTTCCCTCACTGCAGGCTGTCAGATGTTAGGCATCCCATTTCTATGTGTGTATTGATTCACTTGTTCTTACTTTCTTGGAAAAACAGGACCATTTTGTTTACCTATAACCCCTTTCTTACCAGAACCCATTCTGGTATATATTCATACTTCAATTTTAAACCAAAGTGACCCCAACAAAACACCTGTCTGTTTTAGCACTCAAGCTGTATTTCTTCCTCACTGGACTTTGAAGATTGAAGTGATACCTAATTTATCTCTGTTTCTCAAGGAGCTTAAAGCCCTGTATTTGTGTATTGGCACGTGTTTGGTGCTTCAGGAAACAGTGAGAATCCACTTTCTTTCTGCATTAACCACACCTACTGATATCTTTTACAGATTTTGGATATATATTTTCCTAACTGCTTCTCATCCTGTTTTACAGGAGCTTTTAAGGAACAAGTAAGGTTCCTGTTCATTAAAAAAGCTTTTCAACCAAACATCAGATCCCTTCCTGGGCAGGGCATCCATTTCATTTGATGCTTGTAAAGTGGTGACTCTCAGCTCACTACTTGCTGTGCATGTGCATCCCCTGTGCAGCAATCAGAGGCAGTGCTTGGGGCTGTGAAATGGGTGGCTGTAATACCCAGAGGAGATGCTGCTCTAGTTCGAGGCCCATGTAACTGCTCTGCCTGTGCTCCCTGAAACACTGTCCATAGCTGGCCTCTGTGCTCAAAGCCGCGCGAAGAAACATGTTTCATTACAGCTTGTTCCAGTGGCTCAGCTGCACTTGACTCAGTGTAGACTTTCCACTTCAGCTCATGTTGTCTACCTTCATTACATCTGAGCTGGGAAACGTTTCTGCTCACTGTTCTGCTAGTACCATGTTTCTTTGTACAGCTAAAACGTCTGTGCTGTATTGCCTTCCACTGAAAGATGCTATCTTGCTCAGATGGGACTGACATCCTGCATGGGTTGTCATGTGAGTTACTGCTCATGGTAAAGTGGTTTTAGCTCAGTAACAACAATTTGTTTGGCAACCAGGGATCTTTGAAGAGATTCAAGTGGGAAAGATGGTGTCATTTTCTAATGGCGCTCCTATTTTCACTCATGGTTTGACCTTCTCCTGTGTCTCTTCTTGGGGCTTCATGTCTGCTTGTCAGGCTCTGAGACAGCGCAGGTAGCATCTTCTCATCCTTGCTTGAAATCTTCTGTTTTAAGTTGCGGTAAACTGCAAAGAATTTGGTGGCAGATTCCTTTGGCAGTAAGAAAAGATAAGCTAATGTCTGACAGTAAGTACTGGGTGTGCAACCCCTCCACACCTGAAGAAACCTTAAACCTGTTAGAAAGGGGGAAAGTGGGGTATAATGAAGGCAAAAATTAAAGAAGACGGCTGCAGCAAGACTCTAGATGTGGGAGCTTCAACACAGCCTGTCCAGTCGGTGTGATACAGGGCTGGGCTGACAGCTTGGCCTGGAGACTTTGGAAGTAAGTAAAGGTCAGTGGTGTCAGCCTGCGTGGAGAAGAAAGGTCTGTGAGGTCTGGTGAAGGAGGCTTGAGCATCTTGGGTTTTCTTCTGCTTTCAATTTAGTGCCACTTTCCCAGGCACTGCTCTGAAGAGTTCAGCTTAGGACGTGCCCTCTTGGGTCTGATTCCTGCAATCACAGGCAGCTCTGGAGTAAGGGTGTTTAGTCCAAGGAAATCAAGTCTGAAGGACATGTGTTACCAGCCACAGGCCTTGGGAATGCCTTTAACTTCTCATAGCAGGTTTTAGATCCATATTTGGATACAGCAGCAAACAGTAACTTTTTTCCAAATTTCCCATGGGAGAAGTTACACTTTATGGGTCAGTTTTTGCTTCCCTTGTGCATGCCTGCTTACCCTGTCTCATCCTTGAGTATAGGCTGCTTCTGCTTAGCCACAGCCCGATGCACCAGCTCCCGGAGCAGCAGTGCACAGCAGACGCACAGGTCAGAGGGGAACAGAAACAGAGGCAGCCCTTAAAGGGAGAGGGGTGTTGGAGAGGCAGCGCAGGAGATGGAGCTGAAGAATTTTTGCAGACAGCAGGGAGAAGCAAAACCTGATGTGAAACTGATACAGGCAGTGAGGGCCAGTATAGTTATCTCCTGTCAGTCCTTCCTGCAATAGAAAAGCTGTAACAAGAATGGGTCATAAGGCAAGAGTGGATTGAAGGGCAGTGGTGTAGTCTTAGATCCCAGAAACAGTTGTGGGGTAAAATTCCTGGTGGTGTGAGTATGCTCCCAGCCTGCTCCCAGTGAAGGCAGGTAACGCACCCAGCGGTGTCTGCCCCATTTCTGACCTAGAAGACTTGTTTTCTTCTTTTGCCCTGACCCCAAACCTTGCTCCCAGTGTGACAGAGGGTACACGAGCAAGTCAGACCAGTTGGGCACCCAGTATAATTTGCAATTAGTGTTTATCTGTTCGCATAGACAAATGCTGCTGAAAACCACAAGCAATCTAGAGCCTACATTGTAAGAGGAGAGTTGGAAGGCATCTCTGCCTGTCTGCCTTCATTGGAACATGCTGGGATCTTTATTAAAATGCTCTGATCTTGACTGCAGGGGTGGAAGGGAGGCAGGATGTTACCCTTGGCAGTTGTGTCTTGTCAGTACGCTTGCATTTCCCCGTCTCTCCAGTAAGGACTCACGGTAAGGAATGCAGGGTGTGAGTCCTGCAGCATCCCATGTCCTCATGCTGGAAGAGGCTGGGTAGGAGTGAGCAAGCCCTGGAAATCCTCTGGAGTGCGGGGGGCAGTTCCTGTGGTGCAGTGTGTCACCGAGCTCCTTTCAACATTACTTGCTGTGAAAAGCCCCAGTTTGAAAAAAAACCCGTTTTGTTTTCATCCTCCAGACAAACTGTGTGGTGGTGTAACCCAAAGGTAAAGTAATGCCTGGCATGCTGCAGTCCGTCTGTACCATGAAACAAGACAAAGGGGGGGGGAGAGAGACAGGACTACCCCAAACAAACCAAACTTCAAAAGCTTATGCGAGTGAATAAAATAAAACCCACACCAATTTCTCTAGTTTAAAACCACAAACCTCAAATGATGCAAGACGACAAAAACCAACTTCAGGCTGTGGTGGAAGGTGGGCTCTATAAAACCCCTGAAATATCTTGATAATAATTGACATAAAAGATAATTGTGATAAGAAATTTAAGCTGCAAAAGAGCATTGTTGTGATTTATGATTAACTGAAGCTTCCCCTCCACAGCATCGAAGGCGAGTATGTTCCCGTGGCGGGCGATGAGGTCACCTATAAGATGTGCACCATCCCCCCGAAGAACGAGAAGCTGCAGGCAGTGGAGGTGGTGATCACCCACTTGGCTCCTGGAACCAAGCACGAGACCTGGTCGGGGCACGTCGTCAGCTCCTGAGGTGCCCCAGAGGGAGCACAGTCACTGCTCATCACCTGGCTGCAGTGGACCTGTGCTAAGAATACCTTGTGTGTTGTGCAGGGGGAAATACTGCCTTGTCAATAAAGCAGAAGCAGGCCAGAATTAGTGGTGTTACAGCTGAAAAACAAAACAAAAGGCAATTCAAATGCTAATGAAAACAAAATTTAGAGCAATGTGTTTACAAAACTGTATTTTAATGAGAGCTGGTGTGTGCTTGGTGGAGGAGGGGAAGCTTGGGGTTTCTCTTTTATCATCTCGTGAGCTGGTGCCAGGAAATGCCCAGGGGACTCGAGGAGAGGTTTGGAGGAGAGCTTTGGCCACGGCAGAGGCACCACTCTGAGGCCCTAGAGGTGTGTGAGCACTGTTCCTTTGAGCTGCTCCTCTGTAAGGCTTCGAGTACACTTCCTGCTGGGACAGTGCCTGCACACCTTGGCTTGGGCGAGGGAGAGGTGTTCACTGCTGCCACGCTTTGCCTTACGGAAGGAAGCTCACAGAAGAGCAGCTACAGCAGGGTGGGAATTTTCCATCTGGTGGTTACACTCCCATGGCCCCGGCTGGGTGCCCTTCAGGTGCTCCCTTTGCATGCCTACATCTGAGTGGAATATTGTGGTTTTAAAGCCTGGATTGTTTGTGAATCGATTTAGGTGCCTTGATGGTTGATTAGCAACGGATTTTATAGGCCAGTGTTAAAAAAAAAAAAAAAAAACTACAAAAAGAATCAACCCAAAATTTGAAAATTTCGCTTCAAGATAAGTGGTAGAAAACTGTAAAGTAGTGGGTGCTTCACAGCCTCTGTGTCTGTATTTAGACAAAGCTGAAGATTACCTTCTTGATGGCATATAGTTGAATGTCTGCCACAGCATTGCTCTGGACAGGCAGAGTAACTGTACCTCTGGAAAGCAAGCTGTATGCTGTTCAGTATCACAGTGTATGCTGTTCAGATGCAAGTGTGTAAACTGCTGTGCGAGTTCCTGAACAGGCTCAGCTGCATGTCTGGATGAAGCAGATTCTGCAGCTGCTCCATGGAGCAGCTCAGTAGGATGTGATATGGTCACCCTCGCCCTGACTCTTCTCTGCCTGCAAGATTTCAAGTAGTTGTAATGCAACTTATGTCTGTCCCTGTTTGCCTTCCACATCTTTTATTTTCCAAATGAAGCATTTTTCTCTGTTATGTTCCTAACAGTGGATTTTTATTGACTTTGCAAATAAAGAAATAGAAAAGATGGCATCACACTCTCCTGTTAGTTGTGTGACAGGGTAACTCCAGCTGCCTAGTGCAGTTTTAGCAGCCACTTGCTATCATGAAATGTCTTAAGGCATTTAAGGTGCCTGGAGACATCTCCAGGTGGCTGGAGGTTAGTAACTGCTGTGGTGGTTCTACTGTGGCTGTACCTGCATTACAATGTAGTGTGAAGTAACAACCCACCTGCAGTAGGGTTTGGGAGTTCTGGTTGTTTTTTATTAACCATAAGACTTAGTAGTGGTGGATTTAACACTGTTCAGCTTGTTGGAGTAACACAGGCTGCTTCCTTTACAATAAATGTGACCACTGTAATGCTTTAATAAATGTCCTCAGTTTGCTCTCTGCGTAGCTGTCTTGAGGTAGTGTTGCATACCTCAGGTGTGCAGGTGCTGCATATGCACTGCTGTATGATGATAGTTTGAAATGTTTTAAAAAGCACTGTAGTATCAACTGACTGGCATTACCAGAACAATTAGGGAGTTATCTTTTCTAGCTGCTTAATCAGTTAGTGTATGATATATACAACTGCTTCTGTAAATATATTTATTTCCATTGTACAGTATTTAATATTAGCTATTATTTACATTAACATACAGTAGGGGGAACAAGGAACTATAGCACAGCCTGGTCATTTGAATGGGGACATGGGGGAGGGAGGCAGGCCAGAACACTTCAGAAGGGGCTCCCAGGACAGAGCAGACAGTGTTCCATAATGGTGCAGCAGCTTTATCCAGGCTTCAGGGGACAAACCCCAGCTTGGGCCTGCCCTGCTTTTTTAAACTCACACTAGGGAAGGTGAGATGGAGGCAAGGGATGAGACATGGTGGGTTGCTGCGCTTTGCTTTCTGTTTTTTTCTCCTCCCCTCAGAGACACATTTGCTTCTCATCTGCTGGCCTGAGAGACAAACGATAAACCTCAGCTATTGGCAATAGCTGTGCAAGACTGTCATGGTTTAAACATAGCCAGACAGCTTGTTCACTCACTTCCCCCCTCTACTTTCCCTTCCCCTACTCCTGGAGGGACAGAGAGGAGAATTGAAAGGAATGCAACTCCCCCGGGTTGAGATAAGAACAGTTCAGTAACTAAGGTATAACACAAATCACTGCTGCTACCACCAATGATAATAATGATAAAAGAAGTAACAAGGGAAGAGAATACAACACCTCACCACCAGCCAACTGATAACTCGCCCCCCCCAGCCTGACCAAGCAGTGACCGATACCTCCTCCAACCCACCAGCCCTTCCAGGTAACTCCCAGTTACATCCTGGGCATGATGTGCTGTGGTATGGAATACCTCTTTGGTCAGCTTGGGTCAGGTGTCCTGTCTCTGCTTCCTCCTGGCTTCCCCTCCTCCCTGGCAGAGCATGAGGCTCACAAAGTCCTTGGTCAGACTAAAACATCAGTGTTATCAGCTCTGTTCCAGAGCTGAAAGTCAAAACACTGCACTGCACCAGCTACCAAGCAGGAGAAAAATGACTGCTACTGCTGAACCCAGGACAAAGACCCACTAGCAAGCTTTTACCATTCAAACATGCAGGTTATGTGCACACAGGTGATGTGTGTGATATTTGAGGCTGAGAACAAATCTGTGTTTGTTCCTGCACAGGGTATTTTGCACAGGTAACATCCTACAAATACAGGATACAACCATGCAGCAGCATAACCAAACCCTCAGATACTTCCCAAGCGCACTCACACAAAGCAGCAGCTGCTAAGATCTGGCCACCTTTACAGAGCCTCTGGGCACCACAGGTGGTTCTGACCTGAAGTCTGCTCCCATGGAAATGGTTGAGACTCAGTTACTCTGGAAGTAGGCACATGAAAAGGGTGAAGACAGACAGTTCCCATGCAGAAGGGCAATGCAGCTCCCCCACCTGTTCTGTAAACCCTCGGGATTATAGTTTGTACATAAAGATGGGTGTTCTCCCCTTTTTTATTGCATAAGTATCACATAAACTTGGAAAGATTCAAGTCAATCATTTCTCTGTGCAGACAGACAGCACACAACAGGTCTGCTTTACATATATTGTTTGCCAAAATGACAAATTGAAATAGTAATTTTTCGTTATGAGATTTTTATTCTCCTTTACTAAAGGAAACTGTTTTAAACAAGATTGCTTTCCTAATGCCAGATGTGACAAGCAGTATTAACAGTTACAGATTGTCATGCTTCAACTTGAAATTTAACAGAGTTTACATCACTGTCCTTAGTACTAAAATCTCACCTACCCTTAATGTCCTATCAGGAATGTTAATCAGTGACAGAAATGTGGCAGTGACAGCTGTTCCAATGGTGGTAGAACCGCATGTTCCGACCATGCAGTTCTGTCTTCCTAGCCGCAGAGAGAAAGAACACCTCTCTTTTACTCATCTCCCAGTTTTAAACAAGAAAATCACATCTGCCATGTAATTCATGATTTTATAGCAAAAGGTAGTATTTAAAAAACCCCAACCAACTCTAAAACATTCATCTTTTAAATAGCATCTTAATAAAAACAAGGGACAAAGCCTTGCAGGCTAATTTTGAGATCACAGATCAGATTATCCCCCCCAATGTAATTAGTTAGCTAAGGAAGTTTACTGATGTCTTAAAACCCAGCCCAAAACCCACAATCAACAAGAAAGAAAACAAAGTACCTGTGTGAATGGGCACAGGGAAAGGATGGTACTCAATGAGCTCTGCTGTATTCTACCACTGAGCAGCAACGTACTTCCCTTCAGTCATGACTGCCCCGCAAAGCACTTGCTATTCATGACCAATTACAAAAAAACATACATCAGGAAGACGGATTTGAGTTATTAGCGTGTCTTAACCATTTTATCAGTGTGAATCCTAAAAGTCTTTTATTTAAAAAAGAGCTCTTCACAGATTCTTCTTGTATCCTGTGGGGATGTGACACTGTGGCCTTCTGTTCTGGAGTCTGTGTAAATTTCATAGTCGTTCCCTCCCTGAAAACAAATGAGGAAAAAGGCAGAAGAGGATTTAATTCTATTTAACTTAATGTGCAGTCACAGACTTGGGGTGGAAAGGGGACACGCAAAGGAAACCATGGAAAGAAGGAGCTTTTTACACAGGGGAATGGCTCTAAACTGACAGAGTGGAGAACTAGATTAGATACTGGGAAAAAACTCTGTGAGGGTGCTGAGGCACTGGCACAGGGTGCCCAGAGAAGCTGTGGCTGCCCCATCCCTGGCAGTGTTCAAGGCCAGGTTGAACGGGGCTTGGAGCAACCTGGTCTAGTGGAAGGTGTCCCTGCCTGTAGCAGGGAGTTGGAACTGGATGAGCTTTAAAGTCCCTTCCAACCAAAACCTTTCTTTGGTAACACTGTCATGTCTAAGATGTCTTCCAGAAAACTAAAAACCTGCCAACCTCCAGTGTGAGATTTTTGTATGATGTGTTTATAGCACAGCTCTGCCAAACCTTCAGCTGAACACCACACACTTGCATGAGAGCTTCCTGCCCTGCACATTAGCACTGGTAAAGAAAGAGTAGAACTTTACCTCTGTTTATAGTTTTGTGTAATTGACTTTTAGAAATTGTTTACTTGTTAATACCAGGGTGTAAAGCTTGTTACAGGACACTATACCAGCACATGGTATTTTTAACTTCTTTTGCATTGTCCTCTTCCTTCCAACTTGGTCTTCTTTCCTTTTAGTTATACATTATTAAGACTTGAACTTTTGCTATTGCAGTAATGTTTTGGCCTTGTGGCTACTGGTCTGATGTGACATTTGTAACTGGTTTCAGATCACGGGATACATTAACCGTCCTTTCACAGCTGGCGCAGGGAGCAAAGCCAGAGGCACCTGCATGAGCAGGGCCCCGTGGAAGCTGCAGCTTCATGCATCACAGGAAGCAGTTTCCTAATGTTTGTAAACTGTTTACCACGTGGCTTCCCAGTGCGGCAGCAGCAGCTCTGGCTACTTCCAAACTCTTTAAATGCTGCACTGCCACTTCCAGGGGTTTAAAATCAACTGTCCATAGCTCTGTGCCAGAGGGGCAGGTGATTACTTTTGCAGCTCATTTCAAGGGGGGAAAAACCCTTTAAAGCTTCTTTTTCTTGTAAAATTTGGCCTGTTTATAAAGCTATAAAATTCTTTGTAACTTACAAAAATTGTAAGTTCCTATAAAACTAAGCCTTTTCTGCTAAATCTTAGCCTGACACCATCCCTCAGCCATGCTCAGACAACTTTCCTTTCACCCTTGTGCTTGCCGTTGCATTCACTGGCTCTAGATAGGTCTCTGCTCACTGTTTAGAAAAGCCTCTAACTTGCCCTGCAGAGGTGTTTAGCTCAGCCCAATGCCTAGGGACAGGGGTTATGTGTAATTTCAGCTTCTCAATGTGGAGACAGAGTGGTTAGCAAAGGAACAGTATTAAATTCAATGGAAAAATCAATGTTTAATAAACACCAGCCAACAAGAACCATCAATCTACAATAACCAAACTTGATAATGTTTTATACAGTCATGTCACCTAGGTTTTTAACAGAATTACAGAAGTTCAATTTAAAATGAAACTCTATTAAGTCTGTCAAGAACATGGTGTTCACTTCAGGAAACAGAAGTGACACAGCTGTGTCCCAGCACTGCGCTGACCAGTAACCCACAATGAGGTAAACACAGACATACGTTTATATTCTGACTTCAATTCCTGTCAATTGGTTATAACCCACAGTGCTTGTGCTTTAAAAGAAAAGCTCTGAAATATACACACAAAACAGTACACTCACTGGCATAGTCTTATCTCCGAAGAAATAAATGGTCTTGTATCCATCATTGGCAACGATTCCTAAGCAGTACCGCTTATCCCAGCCATCTGGGAACACATCGAAGCTTATCTGGCCTCCTAGGACAGACATGAACCAAGCTGTTGTTAATGTGTTGTTATAATTTGTTTGTTTTGTTAATGTTTTACTATAAGAACACATTCCTGAGGGAAGAGCAAGTGAGAAAACCTAAACTGGGTCACATTTTTGGTAGAGGGAGCTCTGCAGAAGTCAGAGATAAGACCTTGGAGTTAAGTCTTACAGCAAGTGTTCTATAGGATATCAGTTATTAGGTGTGATTTACAGGTTATTATTTACCCATTAAATAAATATGAAAGTCTTAGCATGTTCCCAAGCACTCATGACTCCCAAAACTGAACCTTTATTTAAAAATTACATTTAATCTTTTTAACTTTTGAAAGAAACTATGTGACTGAATACAGTGATTGGTCTATGTACAGCCATAAGGTCTTACGCAAAAGACTTGCTAAAGCTTCAGAATACAAAAAGGAGGAAATTAGCTTTTTTAACACAGCCTGGCAGAACAACAAATGTTTCAGTTCCAAATCCTTGGGCTTTACCCATGCGTAAAAGCATCATTTCCAGTTGAAGCAGGTGTCAAGAGTATTTACAGCATGCTTTAGGAGAGCCATACTGCAGTTAATTTCTGCCTCAGTGTTTCCACACCACAGCACTAATAGCAACCATACTTTTTTATAATTCTGAAAAATAATAAATGGCAAGAATGTGGTAATATACTGGGGGAAAGGGAGGGAAAAAGAAACACATGGAAAAGCAATTCCCCATTATATCACTTTTACCTTTAAGACTGCACTTCTTTTGGAATTTCTTTCTTACACAAAGCTACAGAGCTGAAGAACCAAGGGCTACTGGAACAGTACTGATAGAGCATTTCTGATCCAAATTGATTCGCAGAAACAACTCTGACTAATCAGAAGCATGTAACCTGCTTCAAAATGAGCAGAATCAGTCACCCAACTGACAATAAAAGACAATGAACTGATGACAAGCAATGACATTATCTCTGTTGATGGACTTCAATTAAAATGTACCACATGAAAGCCTAAGAGGAAAAAGAGGCTTAGTCTTGCATGCTGCCTGCAGCCACCCCCAGAGAGAGACCTGTCATACATGAGAGAAGTCATACCCTCTTATGGCTATGACATATACTAAGTGACATTTAAATTAAATGACATTTTAAATGACTTTTAATACGATACCTATAGAAAACGTGAGGCCTTTTCCTGCAAATTCTCTTCGTAAATCAGCTACAAATTTCTCTCTTATATGTTCCTTCTGTTAAAAAAAATGCACAACAAAACCAAACATCTGTATTAATTCATCAATAAAAAGATAACCCAAAAGACCACCCCAAAAACATCCAAAGGTCTGATTAATCAGGATTAGTGTGCTAGAGCCACATTTTATTATCACTGAAAGCACGCTGAGAATATTTCCACTTTAATTGGTTACCAGCCTGTCAAAAATGAGAGCAAAATTTCATTTAGATGCCGTGTTATTTACTTTTCTAGCTGAAAATCTTAGAATGCCAAGGAAGTATGCTTTAACTCCTGGTAAAATTCAGTTTTACACACGGGGAGACTGGGGCATAGGAAGTCTCAAAACTGGTGTTAATCTTCTGATGCCATATACTGCAAAAATGGGAGTATATGGATGTTTTCAGAATGCTTTGGGCTTGGGTATCTTTCAGCATCCATTAACTGAGACTCAGGCAAAGTCTTCTTTTGAGGATCTGAATCTCACTCTTTGTGTTGGGTCCGAAACAGTTGTGACAGTGTAGCAGGGAACAGAACTCTGATACCACAGCTCAGATTCACTTAGCTGTGTGCAAAGGAGAATAAATGGTGAAGAGTTTGGCCTCAGATTTTAAATTCTGCTTTAAAAGGCTTTAAAGAGTTGACAAGAAACGGAATAGTTTCTTTGATTTGCATGGATATAGGTTGGTATCCTAAAGAGCACTCCACATAAGTATGGTTTTATCTCTGAGAGGGTTTTTCAGGAGCACCCTGCAGAAGTAGGATGTTTGGTACTCTGGATATAGTTCAGCCAAACCCATCCCTTTGCAAGTAACCATTGTTCGCTAGTGCAACAAACAAAGTACTGTTGATTTCCTGAAATCTGAACGGAGAAGTTGGTTAAACCACATGGAAAGGGTTAAAATGAAAAGAAAAATTAGAAAGGCACAAAGTACAAAAGCTTTTTAAATCTCATAACCTGGCCATAACTACCTCTTCCAGAAGAGCTGGATAGTTTTCAAGAGTTGTAACTCACTTTATCAAGTTCATAGAACTCAACTCGTTCTTCCTGGCTGCAGCTTCTTCCAATGGGGGACACATTTAACATCCCATTTCGGAACTCAATAAAAGTGCCCCTGAAAAAGAATTGGTTGAGACAGAAAATAGATGAAAAATTGGTCAAAATACCGAGTATTACAATGAACTTTGGTTTAATTCCAAACCTAACAGGATCATTATTTTTTTTGCCGAGCAGCCTACTTTACACATGGATGTTCAACACTATAGCACACAGAACATAGTGACACTGGTGTGTGTACACACATACCTTTTCTTTGGCAGTTTAATCTTCGCAATGTAACTCAGACAGTAGTTGATCAGATCCTGAAGTATGTCTTCGCCCAGGTACCCCTGAATGCTCTAACCAAATAAACATCAATCAAGGTCCAGAATTAGAGATTCTAAAAACAAGTCATGGAAAACACAGATATTGTATAATCTGGCACAGTTAATACCACAAAGGAACATGCCTTCAATAAGTAGCTCTCAGTTGATGCACACGTGGTGCTAACTGAAGGGTCTCATTTTTCTCTTTGTTTACCTCGCTTTTTTAAACCATAGCACCAAACTCTTATTCAATATGAATAAAGAAGAAAGAATAAAGCTGGAGGTGCAGACTGTCATTACATGAATCAGAGTGCCAAATGGAAGCCAGATGACTAGAAAGCTGGAGACCTCTGCTCTGGAGACAGGCCAAAAGAGCTGGGCTCGTTCAGCCTGGAGAAGAGAAGGCTCCAGGGAGATCTGAGAGCCTTTTTTTGTAGCCTAAAGGGGCTACAAGAAACCTGGAAGGGGCTTTTGACAAGGCTCTGTAGGGACAGGACAAGGGGAAATGGCTTTAACCTGCCAGAGGGGAGACTGAGATGAGCTCTTAGGCAGAAGTTCTTCCCTGCGAGGGTGCTGAGGCGCTGGCACAGGTTGCCCAGAGAAGCTGTGGGTGCCCCATCCCTGGCAGGGTTCAAAGCCAGCTTGAATGGGGCTTTAAGCAACCTGGTCTAGTGGAAAGTGTCCCTGCCTGTGGCAGGGGATTGGAACTGGATGAGCTTTAAGGTCCCTTCCAACTCAAACCATTCTGTGATTCTGTGATCTGTTACAGAGATGACACGTGAGAACAGCAGCCACACTGGCCTTAGAAGGATAAGGGACTGCACTGTAGCCACAAAGCAAGGTTTTGTTTAGAAAATGTCTCTTCCATGTCACTGGTAAGTTCCCTTACCTGTTTGCACAAGAATTTCCCATCTTTGTAAGCTACAAGGCCATTTTCTGGAAAAACGTAGTCAAATTTTTCAACCACTACAACCAAACAAAAAGACAGTAACTTATCACTTCCACTGTATGTCTAATGCTGAATTGTATTAAATAGGTTAAATTGTATTAAATAGGTTAAAATCCAGCAAACATTAGATCATACAGAATGAAAGACTCAGCAACATAACAGTGAACATGAGATCAAAGTCACTCTCATTTTACTCCACGATTAGCACACACCTCAAATCACATGAAGCCTGTGGGTTTGCTTAAAGGCTCTTCCTCTCCTGCAAATATGCCTCTTTGCATCACATGATAAGAAAGTGACTTAACACCTCAAACATTACAAAAGCCTGGCACACAGAGAGCACGTCAAGTACTACCCTCTGAGGTTTGCTTTCTCAGTGTTACTAATTTGCAGCAGATGTCAGACCTGTGAGGGTCTCACTATGGTGCAAGGCCAGGTTGGACAGGGCTTGGCGCAATCTGCTCTAGTGGAAGGTGTTCCGGCCCATGGCAGGGGGTTGGAACTGGATGAGTTTAAGGTCCCTTCTAACCCAAACCAGTCTGAGTCTGATGATTCTATGATGATATGGCTTATTGGAGAGCACTTGTAAGTCAAACAAATTCTGCATTACTTGGGCATTACCAAAGGCATATTTGTGTCATCAGTTAAATAAAGACCATTAAAGGCCGCCTTATATACAGAAAATGAAATGCCTCTCAAAGGACTGAAGCCGAGAGTACATCTCTGCATCAGAACCCTGCAGTGAACAAACCGAGATCCTCAGGGAAGCGCTCCACAGCTGAGCATCCTGCACCTGTACCTGTTCTGCATGGAATTCCACGGTGCACAAACGCCCTCCCACGGTACTGTCACCGAGCCAGGATGTCACTGTTGGTAACAGCCCCTGAACAAGATACCGAGGTGCCTGCAAACGCAATCACAGCCTGCGCTCTCTAAACGCCTGTGAGTGGCACTTCAAAGCCCGAGCGTGACACAGCAAAGCCAGGCAGCGCGAGCAGCGCGGCGGGACCACGGACAGGGTTAACTACGCTCAACCTCCGCAGCCTCCCGCGCCCGGGCTGCCGCCGCTGTCCTCACCGTCATCCCCGAGCTGTTCCTTGATCTTCTCGAAGTCGGAGCCTCCCACCACTCCGACCTTCACCCTCCGCCGCAGCTCCTGCAGGAACGCCGCCATCTCCGCCGTGATTTTCTAAGTGCCGAAACAAAACAAGCTCTCTGTGGGCGTCCTTACCGTCACACCGGCACCGCCAGTTCACAGCAACGATTACACCAGCCGCGCCGTGCGGATCTTTAAAAAGGGTACGGTGTTTCGCCTTAAACGGCAGCTAGCACATGGAGCACTGCGGAGAGCGGGTGCAGAACGCGGTGTTCCCTCGGGGCTGGCAGCCCCTGAGGAGCGGCCCGTGCCCGCCGGGAGCCGAAGCGGTCTGCCCGGTGTGCCCGCCCCAGCGCGCCCCGCGCGGAGCACTCGCCTGTCGCGGCGCGGTGAGGGTGCCATCCACGTCGAACAGGCACAGCACGGAGGGCTCCGCCGCCGACATGGCAACGGCCTAGCCCGCCAGACGTGGGGCACGACGGGAAGCGGGGACATGCTCCGCCCCGGACGCTGTGGCGCAGGCGCATGTGGGGTGCTGTGGCAATGGCAGTGGTGAGCGGGGTGCTCCGTTAACCCTTTCCCCTTTCCTTTCCCTTTCCCTTTCCCTTTCCTTTTCCTTTTCCTTTTCCTTTTCCTTTTCTCCTTTCCCTTCCCGGGCGCGGGGGGAGCGGTGCCGCCTGTGAGGCGCCCGCAACGGGTCTGGGCCGCCTCAGTGAGGAGTGAAGCCGCGGTGTCTGCCGCCGGCCTCCCGCCCCCGAGGTGCAGGCGGGCTCTGGAGCGGTGCCCTCGGGCCGTGCCCGTTGCTGTCCGCGTGGTTTCGCGTCCTTGCAGGAACGGTAGCGAGCATGTGCCAGCGTGAGGGCAGCGCGGGAGCTCCCTCTCCTGCCTTTATCTTGGCTTGTCCCGCACGTTCCTCGTGTTGCTCAGGGCCTTCTTGCGGCGCGGCCCTTGCTCTGCTCCAGTGTGGTTAACTCTTCTGTTGCCCTGGAATTGTCACTGAAGTGATTATTTAGCAGCCCCACGTTCTCTTACCCTCTTTGCTTAGAGGCAGCCTGTGGTGCTGGTGCTTTTGCTTGGATGTTGCTCAAAGACACAGGCAGAGATGCCGTGAGGCTGTGTTCAGGGAGCTGGCTCTGGTATCAGCTGTTACCAAAAGTGTTTTTCCTCCTCGGCTGCAGGCATGAATACCAGCTTCCTAACATAACGCTGGTTTTAAGTACAAGGTTACAGTCAGCTGGGGCTGTTGCTTGCTGTCCTTGGGTGCCTGAGGAGCAGACTGTGCTGAAGGGGATTTGGTCCTAAGGACAGCTCAAATGATAACCTGTGGGAATGTTTCCTTATAGGCTAGGCTCTGCGGAATTAGGACTAAGACCTGCATGGCACCAGCTTTTGGGAGATGTCTACAAAAGGAGCTCTGGACGAAGTCATGGAAAAAGGAGGATGCGCACCTGCCCTGGTTCTGTGGTCCATGGGCACGTTTGCAGTCACAAAACCAGCACATTAATGGAGTTAATAATTATCCTGGGAGACAGCGAGAGCCGTCTGCCTGTCTGTGCCACTTGCCCCCCACTGCTGTGGTCAGGCAAAAGGCAGCAGATGGGAAAGCAGAAGAGTTCAAGCTCGTGTACAGGTTCCCAGGGATTAAGTACTGCCGGATGCTGTCCCGACTGAAGCTGCTGCAGACCGGCACCACCCTGCTCATGCTGCCGCCTGTCTGCTACCTCTACCTGCAAGACCAGGTTTCTCAGGGTATCTTCTTGTATACAGCTAGCATCGCATTCTTTGCTGGTGCAATGCTGTATGGTATGAGCTACTTTTTCAGACGAATTATTGGATTAATGTACTTAAGTGAAACTGGCCGTACGGTTAAAGTGGCCCACTTGACGTTTTGGGGAAGACGGAATGACATTTACTGTCCCCTAGAGACAGTGATACCTCTGGATGAAGTTGGAGATAGCAAAGGGGAGCTGCTTCTCCAGTTCAAACGCTATAACAGTACAGACGTTTTATATTTTACACTTAGGTTTGGCCAGATTGTAGACAGACAGAAGTTTATGCAAATATTTGGAGAACCTGAGTGATACAGCAACTAATTTCCAGTGATTTTCCTTGTTGCATGTTCATTGTGCTTATTCTTCTGTGAAGTTTAACTACCAAAGTGACATCTGTCATTTTCCTATGCAAAGCTAGCTGGTAAGTGCACTCGGTGTAGAAAGTAGCAATGATAAAGAGCAATCCACTGGATTAAGTGGCTTTGTAGCTTGTTTAAGGTATGAGCAGTGTCTCTTCCATGTCAGATAGTGACGTGCCTGGTGCACTGTCACCAGCAGTTCAGTCTAAAGTGCCCTACTTGGAAGGTGCAGTGGGAGGCTGTATTAATTACTACTGCTGACCCCAGCTGTTCCCGCTGGCCTCTGAAACAGGGAAAACTCTTGAAGTGCCACCAGGACAGCCTCAATTAGTTGTCTCTTTCAGCACATTCCAGTTTGTCTAGGAAGCCTCTTGAAATTAAAACTCCTATGTACATACATTCAACAGTGCTGGATGTCAGCGAGCTACGTGCTCATGCATTAATGAAATTGGGGTGACTGGGAGGAGCAGCATACAATGCTGGATGCAATGTGTAGGGTCCCTTGGCAAGGTCTTCCAGGACATGAACATAATGGGGCAAAACATGTTGCAAGACACATGGACAATTCAGGTGTAAGGGTGAGGTACTGATTGGGGTGGTATTTCAGGGGCTTCTCATAGAAACAAAGGGAAAACATACCTAAACTGTAAACTGTGATGCTGTGGATTACAAGGACAGCCTGAGAGCCTTTATTCACTTTGGATCCTCATGATCATCTGAAAATTTGACTGACCTGCTTTGCACATACTCATGTTTGTGTTTGTTTTGTGACTAACATTTAATCAGTGCTGTAACAAGAGTTGCAAAAACTTCAGTAAATGTTACCAAAATTATCTTGTACTGTGAACGAAGCTGTCTTCTGTGAAGGTTACTATATATCCTTGATGTGTTTACCCATTTGGGCGTATTTTAACATCAAAAGCTCCTTTGCCAAATACCCTTTTCACTCCCTATTCCCCCAGTCTGAGTTTACCTGAAAGGAAACAAAAAAAGTATGGCATCTGAAAGCAGTGTTGAATTAAGGTTGGAAATGTGTGCTTTGTATTCCGTTATGCTTGCAGGGCTGAGTACCTGTGTCTGTGACACAGTACACTGCGTCAGTGGTCTAATTCCATAGTTGTTGGCATGATTCTTCCTTTTGCAAACCAAACCAGTAGAAATGAGGAGCAGGATGTAAAGCCACATCTGCTCACTTGCTGAGCTGCCATAAGCAAGTGAACTCCTTACACTGCTCTTCTAGCTGTTAATTCACAGCAAATAAGCTGACCCTCACTCACAGAGACATTTGGAGTGCTCTTCTCCCTGTGACTTCCTCATACATATTGAAATTTGCATCTCTTGGTGGATCAGCAGATGCAGGTAAGTAAAAATGCAGTGTCACTGCGTGGGCTAACCCTGATTTACTGTTGATTTGTGTTGAACTTTTCCTCATGGAAACTCCATCCTTTTAAATTTTGGCTGACACTGTATGGTAAAGCAGTAGCAAAAAGAGAAATGTTCCATGGCTAAAACACCACTGCAGCAAAATACAGCAGACTGTAAGCACGCATCATGTTTTTTTAAGGCTTATTTTCAATAGAATATATTTAATATGCACCAGTGCTTCAGTTTAGGAAGGTACTAGGTGTAAAATGAAAAGCCTGGAGAAGTTCCATTATAAATATTTTATTTAAGAATATTGATTACACGAGATGTCATTTGTTATGAATCTGTGTACAGTTACTAGTTACACCATGAAGTGTAGTTAAGTATTTGTTTCAACATCTATTTGGCACTGTCCACAGGATGCTGTAAACATTAGTAACTTTATATGCTTCAGCTGCAGTGCTTCCTAAGTTATTCTCTAACATGATTTCATCAACATGTTGTACACAATTATACAGTTACTGAGTGTCAGTAAAAATTATAAAAACACCTAGAGTATTCATAATAAAAGTGAAGATGTGGTAAGACTTCAAATTACTGGACCCTTGCTTCTGTAAAAGTACAAGACTTGCTAGAGACATTTACTAAAACTACTGCACTGATATGTTAAACAAACTAATTCCCAAAATGCTGTCAAATACAGTTCTCAGTTTGACTTTCGTCTTGTTGATAATACACTTACAAGGACAGCAATGACAATGAGGTTGTGCTGAACACCAGTTTACAAGTCCTTCCCCCCAGATTTCTGCAACCTCTGTTCAAAAACTTGCTCAGGTTCTGACCAGCTGGTGGCAGGATTCCTGTTTCTGCAGAGGTTTACAGAAATACCGTTGTTTTTAGGCTAGCAGAAGTGAGTGTACTGGGGTTTCCCATTACCAGCACTCAAGAAATAAAAAGGGAAAACCACAATTAATACTTCTCAAAGCAGGTAAGAAACCTCTCATATTTTGGTAGTTGTATTAAATGTGTAGGTATTTTAATGCTCTGTCTCATTATGTTCTTAAAAATTGTGGCCAGATCATAATAGAGCAGCTTTAAAGTCCACTGTGGTCCCTGTTTTTTGGCGCACAACGTAAAGTTAAACTTATTAAGCAAAATGCAGATATTTGCTAGCCAAGAAAAGGGGGGGAAAAAAAGGCACTAGACCTAGTTCAGGTCAGCCTTAAGCAAACAACAAAGAGCACACGGTAAAGAGACATCCAAAACAACTCTGAGGAGAAATGTATTGACAAACTGTTGACACTTTTTGATCTGTGGCCTTCTAGAAGATCTCTTAAGTATCAATGACAGAATAAACTATTAGAACAAACACAGAAGTACTTTGTATTACAGATGTGCAGTTAGGACTAGGCCTTCACTGTAGTGGCTCCCACGTCGGGTAACTGGCAAGATCAAGCAATTCTGCTTAGTAGTTTTCCAAAATGCCTCAAGTATTTGTGTAAAAGGTGTAACAGATAAATGAATGCCTATTGTGTGGTTTGGGGTAAATGGCAGCAAATCATTCTGGGTTGCTGAGGGGTGGTAATAATGTGCTTCACACGATTCTCTAAGCTTTCTCAAATGAGATACCTCGAGGTGTAGTCTTCTCTGCACAAGTCTGATTGTAAGAGAAGTCAAAAGTTTTAAAATCTAGGACAAGGGAAGAAGCATGAGTCCTTGAGTTGCATGTACAGCACTGCACATGTGGCTGAGTGCATTAGTGCCTCTGAAGTGGTGTGTGTGCAGACTGAAAGTTGGGCAGAGAGTAGCTGATGGTGTCCTGATCCAGCTGGTGTGGCAGGAGTTCAGGGACATAAAACTGTAAAACACTGTGTTTGGTAGTGTGGGAAAGCAAAGCTTTCCTTGAAACACTGGGTTTATTCCAGTTACCATTAGAGAATGGCACTTTCTGTATGGCAGGCTTGCGGCTGCTTCTGGATACAAGAGTAAATGTGCCAGGATTACCTGTGCAAACAGACTGTACCAGGTCATATTTAGACTATCAAATAGTCAGGACCATGAATGTAGAGAGGACTCTGCAATTAGTATGACCCAAGCCAGAAGATGGAGGGCTGCAGCATCTACGAACACACAGTGTGGGACAGCTGCATGTACCTGCTGGTGCCCAGTACCAATGCTCTGCCTGGGTCGAGTCTGCATGGAGCAGCTTGCCTTGGGCAGGATTACAAGACAGAACACAAACCTTAGTTTATGACTTTACACTTATCTCGTAAGTAGAGAAGACATGAATTAATGCAAACTAATTTCATAGCGTTCAGTGTGAGGGAACTGTTTTTACTTGAAGTTTGCTAAGATGTCACTGAAAATGTTCAGGAAGAGGTGTGCATGGTGATCCTTGAAGATCAGCGTTGGACGGAAACGAATTGATCTGTCACCACAGCCTCCCAGCACAACACCTAAACCAAGCATAGAACAGGTCCTCTAGTCATTTCCATCCTTGCCAAACAGCCAGAAAATGAGGTTCACTTCACTGCAGGGGCTGGGAGAACTCCCCAAATCACTGCTAACCACACAGCAATACAGCACACAGTCAGGGGTTCAAAAGGGCCTCAAGCTGCACAGCAACTTAGCACACAGTGGGTGCCTGTAGCTAAAACACCTGGAATGTTGGGACTAATCTAAACAGCAGTGGAAAGAGCTCCAACAGCATCTGAGCCTTCAAAGCTGCCATGCTGTACTGCTTAAGTACCGCAGTGCCACAAAATGACACAATAGGTTTCTTCAAAACAAAATTGCAAGCTACTTCATTTTTAATGACTAAATATTAAAATAGCTCAGTGCTGGCAAACAACTTCCTGCAGTACTTCAAGTGCATGCTATTGTTTTTACCCCAGAATCAATTAAATTCTTTGAAAACTCCATGGCACAGAGCTGAGCTTGCCTTGCCTTTAGTCAGAGCCTTGGTTACCATGAAACAAACCACTTGCCTTCTCTCCCTGCTGTCTTAGTTTCCAAGAATAAAAAAAATCAGTCTTTAAAATTGTGCTTTCACAATAGTTTAGATGCATCATGCCTGCTTCAAGAAATACGAGTAACAGCAGAAACTGACAGCAGCAAACCCAGGGCCCGCACACAGTTAAATTCAAAGGGCACATTGGGCTTCAGATACCTGGGCTTTTCTACGGCTGGTTATGAGCTCTGTAGTCAGAGAGGGATGTAGGTGTAGATCTGTGCCCATTTTAGGCAACATATTGTATTTCACTCTTGCGTATTCCATAAAACTCCTATCTTTTCCTCCCTTTCTCCTGAGTGACACATTAGCTTTCTTCTCATTTTCCTGATCTGTGTCTAGAAGTAATGTGTGCTGGGTGCACCTAGGGTCACTGCAGAGGAATGTGAAAGGGATGTCACAAAAACTCCTGCCCTAGATAGAGCTCTTCAGCAATGTTAGACCTATACAGAAAGGTAAATGCACACCATGGAACAGACTGGTCTGATGTTTCTAGAAAATATAAGTATTTCCAGAAAAGTTAAGTACAGTTTTGTTTGTAATTGTAGTACACATACCCCATAGGAAAAAGCAAAATTTAAAACATTACATACGCTACTGCTTGTCACTTGAAGCTAATCCACACACAAGCATTCTTACCTTTGTTCCTGGCTATTGTAATTAACTTGTTTCTAGTTGCATCATTTGGAGTGTCAAATGAACAAAATGTTCCTCTTCCTCTCACTCTGCTGATAAGATGGGGGTAACGAGCCTGCAAAGAGAGGTGAGGAAGTAGGGAGGGCAGCTGCTGCCCCAGAGGGGACCTGGTGGCAAACTCTGCTCCGCCACCATCCTCCTATGGAAACCTGCTGCCTCTGCCGCTACAGTGGAGCAGAGCTATTGCAGGGGCTCGATGTCTCACCCAACCTGCAAGCTCTTTTCCCCATTCTCCTCTCTTAGAAGAGTAACCTTTTTTGGTAGTACCAGTTGTATTCTGGCCCTCCAAAGGACGAAGGTTATAATTTTTTGTGTTCTCCTGCCTGCTGTGCCTTGAGTTGTGGAGAGAGCAGAGACAGTATGTGGGTTTATCCTGTGCAAAATGCCTTTTGGGAGGCAAGCATCTGTGAGCCTACCCTTAAATGCCTGTCTTTATTTTCCTTCTCACATGGGGCTCCAGAGTTGAAGCTGGAGTTCCTCAGTCTAAGAGTCTGAAGCAGATGAGGTCAGGTCCTACCTGATGAGCAAATTTCAACTTCTTATCTCTAATCCTTCCAGGTGTTTACCTGTAAATCCAGCAGCCCGGTCAGTAGTGCTTTCCCGGCATGGGTCGCGTTGTTCAGAAGGTCTTCTCTTTTAATAACCCTGATGACTTCAGCAAGCAAAAGGTTCTTGGATGGGTCTCCAAGCCAGGTATTAAAAATCCGATAGGGCTTGGGAAAGAGTGGAAAGAGAATTGTGAAATATATTAACTGGCGAATC